AAATTCTACATACCAATAAAAGACCTTGGATGGTCGTGTTTATTATTGCATATGCAAATCGGCTTACCATATTTAAAACTTTAAGATAATAATATAATAACTTAACATTTGCAAACTAGTGTGAAGCTATTATCGATGTCAAGGCTATAGTATAGCATCTTGCCTGGGGCGGAAGGCTATACAACAATACTTCACCAAAAGCAAATATTTGGTTAAATACATTTTCTGTCTAGGAATCCCAGCTTAGTTATCAGTGAGAATTGTGTCTCTAAGGATCGGCAGTGAATCTTAAAAAAGTGATTAGTTGTCCTTGTTCGTAATGCACTTGATCCGATTTCTACGGCTTGTTTCCTTCCGCGTATCGACGATGGCCTTAATTTCTACAATAAGTTGAAAGTAGAAGATGGTCATGATATAACAAGTCATGGGTATTTGCGCACAGTTTATTAAATAGTAGCCTTACTAGAAATAGTTTATCATATCTTAGAGATTCTGCACAATTATTTTGACCTCGTCCTTCAACTGCACAATGCAAGAAGCTATTTTCTTAATGGATGAATTGTTACTAAATCAGTGCTGGAGGAAATCAAAAACTTCTAGAATAGTCTTGTTTCAGAACTTTTGTCGGCAATTGACAAAGACGTGACCTCAATGTCAAGGTAACAGAATGGTGTTGATGATCTTTTATTGCAAAGAATTGATCAAAAATTGTCTGGAAGAAAATTTCAAGTTCAAGGTTGAATTAGGCCGACCTACAGCGCTTTTCTACTTCCTTTCCGCCTTTCGCTTTCTCACTCAATAATGCATCAGATTCTTGTCTAGTGTAACAGATTTCGTTCGTTCCAGTTTGCATTTTATCCTTCGAAATTGGCAGCTTGGACACAACATTGCGGAAAAATCGTTGGTTATTAGCCAAGTCATGTTGGACATTGCCTTGATGATAATAGTACGTACTTTGTAATATGAATATGCAATTTCTGCGTGCGAATTTGTTCCGGACACTGTACATGAAAGAATTTACCTTGATAATCCGGAAACGGCGAACTAATCGGCGATGTGTTTGCGCATATCTTATTTTTTCAACTCAGAAATATTCTCCTGACTTATATAATCGAGTTATTTGTTTTTGTTCAAGTTCAAACGGGTGTCCGACACGCAGTGGAATTATTCTTATTCTGCGGCGGTGAAGGCTAAAAACAAAGTGATGACCGATACTCCTACTAGAAGATTAATAGCAAAATTGGTGGTACTTTTTTCACTTGAACCACATTTAATTTCTCTATTTTGAGAAACTATTGTTATTCTTTGAGCATAATCACAGAAGATTAGGAAACCACACAAACAGGGGTCATCGACTCCAAGTACTTGTTTCTAAATAAATTTAATTCAGTCTTGCGTGATTGGCACACTTGTATGGAGAGTGTAGATGGTATCACACTTTGCCCTTTATGAAAAATATTGTTTTACCAGGAAAAAGTATACATATTAACTATTTCGCCGAATTAAATTGCAATGATTTTTACTTTTTTATTTCGAGATTTTGACAGGAAGGTAGTTGTGTACTTTGATTGTTTTTGTTTGATAGAAGTTTTCATTCGTCGAAATAAAAATATCTACAAAATGTTTATCTTTGATAAATTTGTTCTCTATTAAGTTTACAATCAAAACAACCTTGTATGTGGACAAACTGCTAATTCGAATAGTGACACTAGAAGATTCAGTATTTTCCATTAAAAATATCAGGAACAAAGTAAACATTATAATGATGTTTTTTATCTTTATTGCCCAGAACATTTGCTAAAAATTTTATTTTAGCTTTGGTGACCATGAATTTTAATGCTACCGGCAATTTTTAACTAATTCTTTATGTCTTTGTAAAACTTGAAGAAAATACCGATTGTGATTCTTATCAGTGTGACAGACATTTTATTACTTACCACAGTTAAGAATTATTACAGTTGTGGTGATAAGAATTTCGTCATCAAACTCAAGCTTGGTAGCAATAAACTTACAACAATGTAAATTGCACAACGATGAGAAGATGTTGGAATGTGTAAAACTTTTTGAACTTTGCTTTCTGAAAAAATCTACTCAAATGGAACAAAAAGGTGTGCTTTGTGTACACTTTGAATCATTATTTACACAAAATGTTTGCCTTGACCCTGATCTTAATGCCTTAAGCTACGTGGAACTTCAATAAGTTATTTTTTTCTTATACAATTTGTATCATTCTGGAATATGAATTCAGTTGTATACCTATCATTATTACAAGCAAGCATTTTGTGTCACGTGCAATAGTAATTTACATTATAAGTGCAGTAGCTATAATTGTATAGCGGGAAGTTTGAACATTGAAGCACGAAGCGAAGCTGAGTACTTTAATAAAACTGAACGCTGTAAAATACCTAACGCACAAGTAATGTACATAACTTTTTGTTCGAGGATAGTTTTTCGATTAATTCATATTTCGATTTGCCAACACTAAATAGATATGATGGGTTTAAGCATTTACTATTTTCACCACAAGACGGCGTTGATTAATATTCCGCTGAAAAAAAAATGTGTTTGTTTTTGAAATAGTGAGTGTTGTATTTTGGTACTCATGAACTTCATTTGTCATAAAGTATTTTTTTTGGCCTCTGAAAGCTTAAAATTTTCGTGTTATTTTCCTGCACGGTGTTCGGCAAATTCGACAAATGTCTTATAAAAATTAGTTGTCAAAAAAGTGTAAAAATGTCAATTACAGTTGTCGAGGCCAAAAATTTTATTTACGTTTACATAAAGAATTTTTATTGTTATAAAAATGCACTTCAATATTGTCTTCTGGGATGTTGAAAAATATTTACACCAACTTTATCTGTTTTTTATGACAATGCCACTCATTCAAAATTTCGTAAAAAAAATTATGCTGGAGTGGAGAACAATAGGTTTTTCTGATTGATAAGAGATAAAATCTGCGACTGCCGTAAAACGCAAAAATCTATTCGATATAATAAATTATTTTTGATATTTGTGTAGGATAGTGGATAAAAATGGTTTTCCAACTGGGAGAAAAGAATCTGACGTCATTATCAATTCTTCTCACATATCACTTTCTTTTACAAAAGAAAGTGAAAATGGTTTTATGTAAATGCATATTACATCGCTAAATTTTCTACGTGGCATTTGGCAAAGGTCAAGTCTGGAATAATTCGCCAACCTCCAAGATTTGATTCCACTTTATCACATTTAAACGTAATAATAATAATGTCTGTACAGTCATACGCTAATAAACCACAATCCACAATACGACTAAACAAATATTTGCTGTTTGCCTTGTGTTAATAAATAAATAAGAAGACTGTTCTTGTAATGCAACGTTAACCTTGCATTTTTCCCCTCGGTGCTATGTTATAATTAGATGAATTATTGGAAATTATCATTCTTTTTCGAAATTAAAAATTACTTGTGCAAGATTAATTATTCAAGCTGATATAATTTAATCAGTTTCCGTCATTTTCAGTAGTGTGGCACCTGGTGTTCAGAGGCTAAGTGTGTCCAATTGCTTAGGCTTACTTTTACCTTATCATTATTGATAAAAATTCTGATTCATGTCAAGAATACAAATTACATGTGGGCTAAAATGGGTAAAAGTATGTCTAATAAGAAATTTCTTCATTCAGTGCTCTCATTTCGATTTCAGATAGTGCAAAAAGTTGCAAAATTGCCTTATAAAACGATAATTTTTTGATAACAAGAAAATTTAGGGGAAATGGGACTAGGTCATCTATTAATACTTTGCATCATTTTAATAACTGGATTCGACCTGCCTTAGATTGTCACTCCCTAAACTTCATCTAAATCAATATGACCTACCCACTTAGCTAATTGGATTTGTTGCGAGGGATTACAGGAAATAAGGGGTTTTGAGACGCTTACATATAATAAGCTCTTTTAAAACTCGCGCCTTAAAGAAAAATGCCAAATAAGATAAGATACCAGGAACATGGAAAAAATTGTTTAAAAATTCTATTTATAAAAATTTAGAGATTACGGGGGTTTAGATTTTGCACTTTCACCCTAGCTGTATCATAAATTAATTGTAACTTTATTTGTGACTTTTATTGACAAAATTGTGTACCTTCACTGAATAATTATGAAAAAAAAACGTAGGTATACAAAATAACAAAATTATCGATGACAATAAATTTTTTGACAAAAAGAATTTTTTAAACATTTATTCCGTGTTCCTGGTCTTGTCATTTTCCTCTAGGGCGCGAGTTCTGAAACACCTGTATAGTTTCTTAAACAACTGATTTTTGTGATATTGAGAAAAAATTTAAAATTTGACCAGTTTTTTCTCGGAATATAAAATTTCGTTTCAAATTTCTTCTCTCTTAGCTTTAATGGAAAGTAGAAATTGACTTAAAGCGAAATTCCTTAAATAGATCCCAGAGATTTTTGTTTTTAAGTAGAAAATCGTATTTGGTGCATTTGAACGTGGCCTTATTTATTCTCGTTTTTATCTTGATTTTATTATCTCTACAAGTAGTAACTTCGCGTTCAAAGTAAAATCATTCAGTTGGTTCGAAGTTTTCGACTGTGATTTATCTAAAGTAGCCGTAAAAATGATTCTCCACGTGAAACGTAAGTTGTTTTTTACAACCTTTGATACGGAATTTTCAAATTAGATTTCCGTTTATTATTATCATAATTATGTGACAGTGTTTTGATTCAATGATTTATGGGCTAATTTTTATTTGTGATTTATTATATTTATATGACAATGTCCTTGCCGATGGCTTTGTAACTCTGTTAATAAGTACATTAAAAAATGAGAAAATTTTAATTGATTTATTATTTCAATTATGTTCAATGTATTATAGTCTCTGTAAACAATAACCTTAAGATTTGTTGATTTGAAATGTAGATCTGAAACGTAAATAGTAATTACATTATTAGATATGATTTGCAATTTTCTATGTATGGATTCATTATTAATTTAATTATTTTCTTTTCAGCAATGTCTACCGAGACAGAAGGAATTAGTGATGAGGCGATACGAGGGTTACTCAATGACACGGGTAAGTGCACAAAACTTTACATGAACAAGTGAGAAAATATTGGACAAAATTAATCATTTTAATCAATGTGAATTTTTGGTTTTATAACTCGAACCCGTTGAAAGTCTATAAGATAAAGAGTATAATGATGCAAAAGTGACAGTTTTACGTATTCCAAAAACTTGTTTATTATTATCCAGGACTTTTTTTTTGTTTATAATACTAATTGATACATAAAATATTCATCTACCAGAAAATCATTAATTTTGAATTTTAAAGATGTGCATCAAAACAAGTTAATTCTGCGAAATTCACGACAGAAGTGACTTCTTATTATTTATTCTAAATTAAAACATCCTTGTGAAAATTTTGATAAAATTAAGAAATTATGTAACTACGTATTTTACGTCTTTTTACTTTTACTTATTTTATGAAAAATGTATACCTTAGTGAATACCTCTGAGTGCTGTTCGAAAAATTGTAGGTATATTTTTATATTTAATATTAATGTTTCTCAAATTTTTTTGTTATTTTTATTGAAGTATTCTAAACATTTAAAAACGTGCTTTTTTGGTATATTTTCAAGTTACAAGTTTATATATGAATTTGCGAATTGATCTTTTTGTACTTTGTGATTCCTAATTATTGATAAACATTCGGCTTAATCATCATTTTTTAATCTCACATCAATGATTTTTTTATTTACAAAAATTGTTTTTATAGGGCAATAAACTTTACCTTCTATTTAGTTTACGCTTTTTACTTTTTCAATTAATTTACAATAGTTTAATTTTTTCTAAATTTTATTCGCCATTTTCTATTTATTTTTTCAAATAAAGTAAATAGTAATAAGTAAACAAACAAAAAAATTGAGTTTAAGTAGTATTAACAACAATAATTAAAATAAATAAATAATGGCAATCAAAATCGGGAAAAGTAACTGTGAGATAATTTTTATTTTAATTATAATGCGGGTCTAACGGTGATATTAGGCGGGAATAAATATTGTCTCTCACCAAATAAAAATTAATATTTGTCACCAAGTGAACCGAACAGTTTTATTATATTGTACTATTTCTATATACATTTTTTAAGTGATTCCTATTTATAGTTCATCTTTGAAATAGTTATTCGGTATTACCTATTTGGCGAAAGATCTGTTATTCCGAGAACAAACCTATGTATATTGTCACACCCTTAGAAAGTCAAGAAATGTTTTATGTATTTCATATCAGTAATACTATTTTTTTCATAATCATTTCGGTGGCTTTTGATAAATAAGGAAGTACAGAAATTGAATTTTATGTGTGAAACAGTATTAATATACTGTTAGACCTAATGGTCTCATAATAATGAATCTTCATTTCGTTCGTGCTTTCATTGACAGCATTACAATTGATGATAAGTGATAAGGCGGTTTCTTCTTACAAATTGACATTTGCAGCTATTGATTTCGTTTACCATAAAATAAAGAGTAAGAGTAGAAAGTTGTGAGGGTGGACGGTATGAGGCAGTTTGAAAAACAATCGTAATTATTACATAATAGTATACACAAACGTAGCAGGTATTATCATAAGTATGTAAATCCTGGGACGTATCAGGTGTTCATGTTTATGACACATATTTGGGTCACGAGTTGGGATTTAGGTGTGAATCGAGATAAAATCATAAACAAAAATAAGTTTATTCGTGTAAACAATAATATTAAATATAATTTTATTAATGAAACCCTGACTTTTATTTATTATTTCATTGACTCATTGAGGTGTCGTGGATTGTTCTTGACTGAAGGATAGTCAAAGGTTAGACGTGGTCATAGGTCATAATCCGTCTTGGCAATCTAAGTCGTAATTAGTAGACACTTTCCAGCTGATCTTATCGAAAATTTGCCGTAAATTAGGCGACGCGTGTTCAAGGATAACGGATTTGTGTGTAGGCATTTCACTACTCATCGTATCGAAGGAAAAAGTTTATTGCATTATAATTGCATACATCCGTCATTTCCCGACTTAAATTCGTTTTCTGAAATATCACTTGAGATTATAATTTCGTGCTAATTACACAAAGTCAGGTTTCGTCACTTATCATACAAAACCATTTGTTTATGTTTTGTTATCAGTAGTACATTTCTTAAAAAGTGAGATTTTATCCGAGAATTTGCGTCAAGACGCGATTTTGTTCAAGATTTCTGAACTTAATTGGTCTATGTGTTATTATCTCGTCTTACCTGACAATAATATGAATTGATTTTTGTTTAAACAAAAAAAAAAGGCAAATTTACTTATCTTTTTCACATTTCTGTATTTAATTAGTGATTATGGACAATAGATTTTTTATTTATTTTCAAGATGCAGTTTTTTTAAATTTTTGCAAGACATTTAGTATTGTCGATTATCACCTACTTTATCAGCGTAAATAAAGGAGAACAACACATGCCTTCTTAATTTTAAAGATTAGGAGAATAATTAATGGAGATTTTAATCACGTGGTCAAAGTTTTATCTTAAATGACAGAATGACGTCTTTTGTTAGTAAATTATTTAATTATTTGCTATCTTAAATAAATACTTAATGTTGTACGACACTCAGTTTGATAACAAGTCTAACAATGCCTCAAATTTTTGCTCTTTTGTAATAATAAAAAAAAAATAAAAAATTTGAAAAATAAACCACTTTACCACATGTCGCACATTTTACGTCATGGGGATTCCCTATATTGGCACAACATCCACATTAATAAAGTTGTGTTACTACTTTTGATACCTGTTCGGAAGTAAAAATTGTTTACGTTTACTTTTTTCAAAGAAACAGTTAGACAAATGTGCATAATTATAATGCTCTTTTTATTAATACAGTGCGATCGAAAAGTCTCTCTATCACGCAAGCGCAGAAATTTAAAACGTATGTCTGTGGAAGATAAAATGTCACAATGGCAAATGAAATATTTTTTTTGTAAACTGTAACAACAAATCGTGGTGAACAATTTGTATGAATAAGCTCCAACTACATCTCATTTTAGTTTGTTTTGAGACGTTTCATAGAATAATTCAATTTAATTAACTCAATGTTTTAATTTTTATAAAATAATTTTTTGACATCTAGATAACATACGAACTGCCATGCACTCAACTAGGACGCCTACTTGATAGAAAGCCTTTTTGATCGCACTGTATTACCTGTTGCGATGTTAATCATGGTTTTATTTATAGAAGGATAATTAAAATAGTTTTTTGATTTATTATTTATAAAATTTAATTTTTAATTATGTTTTGTTTATGTTTTCACACTTGACATGGTAATAATTTTACGCTGATGGAAGGTAGCTTGTCTGGCAAATTTAGAGCTGTTGATAACAATAATGTTATTACAGTTATAGACAAGGAAGGACACGATAAACGTTAGTCATTAATAATGAGTACCAGTTTATACGAAAAAATATCAAAAATGAAATTATTGGTCGTGTCATTAAAAATGGAAGAAAGTTTTAATTTACTTTTTTATTTTTGTTAATTTTGCGCTGGCTTGCACACGCCTGCTATCTAGCGGAATCACGCGAAACTTTTACGAATTTCTAGTCACGGACAGATGGCGCTTTAGTTCGCGTTGCTATGGTTGTAAGAAAATAGTTACGATGTCGCCACATGTTTTCTAACGATTGGTGTTTGTTTATTTGCACTTTTGGCGGATAGGCGGCGCTCTTAGAAACAAAGATAAATTTCTAGGATTAGTTTTAGTATCTGTTAAGAGATGGGGAAGCCATATGTAAAATTCAAATTTAAATAAACCGTTACTATTATAAATTCTTTGTGTTACGTTCCAACACTTACACTTCTGCTGTATTGTAATCTAAATAATAATACAAGTAATTCACATTTTTAAATATTTAGTAGCTGCTTTGATTAACCTTGGAGGGAATTATTCGTGATCGATAAACACGTGTTTCTAATTGAGAATGAACTTTTTTACTGGTAATAGTTTGTTTTAGGTAAATTATCGATTGATATTAACAAAATGCTATGCGCTTTTCATTAGTTGGTGACGCGCCGCTATTAGTTGTAGAGGTCAAGAACAAAACAAAAGATCAATTGCTCATGCAAGTGATATATATTATTTAATAATTACTTTGGGAATGTTTATACATTTTATAAACCTTAGCAACAATAAATGATTTAGATAAAAGTGAACAGTTTTAAGTTGAATAAGTTCATAATTTACAAAATGAGTAATAGATAAAGTATAAAGGTTGTCGAGGTGATTTTTATAAAAATAACATTTTAAAACAATTTATTTTTATTTTTGAAAGAACATACACGCAAAAATTTACTCGCACCCACTCCGAATATTAACATTAACTGAAAAAACTGGTTTCAGCTAGTAATTTAATTTGATTATAACCTTTAAATTAAGAGTTTAGATTTCTAATTAGGAGTTCAAAATAAAAACCCATTAGGATTCAGTCTGTCTACATTTTTTATATTTAACTTAAAGTTGTAGACACTACATGTTCACAGTTCTTAAATTACCCTATGTTTTATGAAATATTATATAATTTACTTTCATTGCTTTGATAACGTGTGCGTCTACATAATTTTAAAATAATGATGATGCAATTTTAAGTATTCCACACGTTTTGCACTTTTTTTCCAACTAGCAACCAAAGTGGTATTCTGATATCCTTTTACCATTTTCGACTTTAGACAATTCAATAAAATTTTAAAGCTTTTCTATTGAGTCACCACAAGCTGGACACCATAAACTAGTTTTTTTTAGTACTATTTGCATAGGTGTTGTAGTGTAGTTTAATTTACAACTAAGTATAAGACTGCTAATTTGGTCTAGTCCACTTAACCGTAAATTTATTTAAACCAGTTACAACTACTTTTTGGTTTAATTGCATAGTCAAAGATGTTAGAACATCAACCCTTTGCTAACACGTGTCTAACGACCTTCCCACGCTTGTGATATTCTCTACAAATTTTATCACATGCTGTGAAGTTAATATATGATGATAAAATTTCACAACTAGTAATAGTTTTGGAGTGGGATTTTATTGTAAATTTACTTTGAAGCTAACCACGAGACTTTATCTACTTTTCATCATCATATTGAAGGACTTTGGATTTGAAAAACTGTTAAACCAAAGGAAGTGTGGTCGTGGTTGAAAATGATAAAATGAATTCCAGATATTCTCACTACCACAACGTATTTTTGGGTGAAAATATCGTTTATTTATTGTGATCTAATGGCAGGTGTTAGTATTGTTTACACTTTTGTGTAAAAGTTTAAACTTGGCTTGTTGACAAAATAGAGCGCAAAATTTCGACATTAAACAATGAAGGCTGTCGCCGACTTATTTACCAAATTCTTAACAATGTCTTGTTTTATTAATGTTTTATTTGAAAAAATGAACGCAATATATTCGCCTTCGCGAAATTAATTGGCAGTTGACCAATTAGACAAACTTTTATTTATGTCTAGGTTGATAATTTTAGAATGCTTACTGCTGATAAAAATTGCTCGTTGGAGCATTAATTTATTGTTGGGGAAGGTACTTCCATCATTAAAAAGGTAATGACGTTTAATTAGCCAATTGTTTTTTATGTTGTTTAGACACGTGCCAGCAATTTAATGACGAAATTTTACCACAGTTACAGATTGGAAGGATTTTGCATCAGCAGCTAAATCTTCCATTCTGAAGTAAACAAATTATTATGCAGTTTCAAGATTATTATAATTCGACTTCTAATTGTGTCTACAGACGGATTTTATCTTTGTCATCTTGTTCCCGGTTTTCGTAATGCGTTAAATCCGCATGTAAATGATGAAGTGGCTTCGTCACAACCGAATTATCACAATAACAAACACAAAAAGATTTTGTGATGAATTGGGATTTTCTACACTATTGTTTATTATGAATGTGCGTCCGTCATCCTTATCTGAATCCAATCTTTAATTGATCAAACCTCCAAACTAATAAATGTTATTAATTTCATAATATTTTAAATCTTGTCATCTCGTCACTAATACCGGATTTAATAACGGTTCTCCATATTATTTTGGTCGTTCACTGCACCCATCATTATCGGTGAAGAGTCGTTTTCTGACCCTGAGCACACTTTTGGCCTGTCACCTCAAAAATAAACTGTTTTTGAGATTTGAGCTCAAAACTACGTCGAGTGTAGACTTGAATGTGTCATAGGTTTGGTCTTGGATGCGGTCCATGTTTGAAATGAGCACATATACAATGATTTTTGTGACGCATTTTGAAAAAAGAACGATTATCCTTCACAAACGACGTCAAATTGAAAACGAAAGCACAATTTCAGTTACATTTTTGTAATTATCGAAATTTGCAAATTATGAAGTTGACCTACAGTAATAATAACTGCAGTTGAGCACATTTTTACACTTTTCTTCCTTATTGCACTGTAATCCACTTTAATTGCATATTGTGCAGATTGAATGAAGTAAGAAACACTTTTCAATTAACCCTTGCATGGCTGTAAACTCTTGTATTTACTAAATGTTTTATTTTCCAGATTCGGAGTTATCCAATCTATCACATCTCGGTAAGTTTGCACGATTTGCACATCTTTGCGTTGGGGTTTTGCTTCTAATCCAAAAATAAAGATAAATGTGTTCTGGTTGAGCTACACCTTGCATAAATAACGATCATCCTTGATACGTATAAGCATCAGTTCCGTTTTAAAAACATTTATTAGGTTTCGAAGGCTAGAAATGTTTGTTAATTAACCTGAGAAACTCAGTAATAAATCACAAATATTCTTATAAAATTTCTGTGAATCCTGTGTACGCAAATACTTGTTTCTATACTTCTACCTGCTACACTTTTCAACCTTATCTCTAAATATAGCAAGCCGTACACACGTGTCGTTAACTTCTTGCAGGCGCCGAAGATCTTGGTGGTTTTGTTTCAACCAGTTCTTTGATTTTATTAAAGCCATACAAGCGAGGGAATTGCAGATTGCCTGTAATTACGCTTCGATTTTTGTGGAATAAACCTCAAGTAATGTCGATCGAAATACCCACTAATGGAAAGTTCACTCCGGTTTTTTCTAGTAAACAGAAACACTTTGTGATTACAGATTGATTGCTAGTGCTTACAAACTTATTCTTCTCCTGAAAATTATGTAATGTCAGCGATAAAAACGGGTTGCGTCATTTAACTAGGAAATGAGGCAGTGAAGGACGGCTTCTCCTATCTTTTGATTGACATCCGGGTTGTCTCTATAACCCTCACAATTATATTGCGAAGGTGCTAAAAATAAAATTAAATTGCTGAAACTACTGTCTTACATGTAGCCAATAAAATTCACGGTCATTAACGAAATAGTGTCAAGATTTGAACGGAAAATGCTAAATTTTGCGATAAAACTTCGTCGGTTATATTGTTGCAGAGATCATCATGTCACGATGATAATTGGGCCTTGTTTCCAACCGATATTGAGACCAAGATCATTTTATGTTAATACCGTTTTGTTTTATCCACTAGGAACCTTATTTTTGTCAAGTTTATTGTCAAGAACAAACAGGTGGACGCCGAGGATTAAGTTTAATGATTTTGGCCAAAATTAGATTTTTGTCGATACGTTTCAAGGTAGTAGGTACTAATTGAATAAGCTTTTTCCTTCTTTACTCATACTTTGTTTATTAAAAATATAACTGTTTAGGCGTGTCACGGCCATTTATTTTTTGGCTATAGCGTAATGGCTTGGAGCCAGATTTTTGTAAATTTTTAATTTTCTTTGGAACAAATTATAAAGTAAAATTATCTGATGTTTTTATATTAAATTTGGGCTTACGATTGGTCGAAATATTTACAGAGTAATTAATGAATTTTTTCTATTTATCGCCATTTTGGTGTAAAATCTGTTAAAAATAGTCTTTATGAATCATAAAAGCGCATAATGGGCCGTTACCGTGAATCATAAAGTTTGTAAATTTGCTGTAGTAAGAGTTTTGATTACGTTATGAAAAAGATGCGTTTTTACGTTTGTAAACTGTCTTACCGTTTTAACTCGGAGAATTTTTGCAGCCTTTCTAAACCTCCGTTAAACAAACGGAGACAAGGCCATAATGTATGCAATAATTTGAGGTGCATGTATCCCACTTATCTACTTTTTTCTATAGTAGAAAACAATCTAAGATGCATTACGAAAAACTAAATATCGGTTACTAGGTAAAATTTCCAGTTCAACTCCTTAACCTACATGCACTAATGAAATTTTAGGCAAGGCAATCGTGTGAACCTTTTGCAATGGCCGCTTAAAAGTCAGTGTATTGCGAAACCTTTCACTTCGTGGCGCCATGTTGCTTGATTTGCGAGTCGTTATTTTTGCAAGGTTTTACCACCACGGTCCTAATTATCATTCAACTATTAGCGAAGGCCTTTTTTGCTTTTAAAGTCCGGAACTGTGGCCAAAAGACCGGCCTCGAATCAGATGTCAAATCTGCATGCGATAAATTTGAAATCAATCGGAAGGAAATCAGGAAGTGTTGTGCGGTTGATTTTCCTTGCGGGTCTGTTGAGGAATAGGTTTTTCAGTATTTGTGTGGTTTCCTTGTGTGATAGTAAATAAACATTAGTCACAAGCCGCTATAGAAGAATAATAATAAAAACTTCATGCACGGTCGAAGGTCTTCAAGGATTTGATCATTCTTTAAACTGCTGATAACGGACTCTAGAAATTTCGATAATCTGTCACGGATATTAACAACAACAAAATTAATGCCAATTATTTATCTAATTAGGTACACTTTGCAGCTTCTTTGTATTATTATTGGAGGTAAGTAGGTTAAAAATACGCAGGTGATGACTGCTACCTTGCAGACTGTAATTTCGTTTGTGAAAACGAGTTTTTTCTCTTTGTTGACTGTAGTTCGAAATTCATCCAAATGATGTTTTTTTTTGTTACAGAAAACTAAAAATGGTATACACACCTAGCTTAGAGAATTAGGTCTATATCAATTCTTGCGACATGTTTTTGTGTTTGTACTCAATTTTATAAGAGATACCCTTTCTTTAAGAAAAAAGTTGTGGAAGTTTCAATTTCGTCATTTTATCGGAACAGATAAAATGTCGAAATGTTTATTACTGTTGCTAGTTTGCGGATTTTTTACTGCAAAAAAACGAGGAATTAGAGATAATGATATTTTTGCTTTTCCCTCGACCTCTTCATTCACTATCGGTCATAGTAAATAACGTTGTCTATACCTAACCATGAGGATGAAGGAGCTTGAACATTGAGAGATATTTTCTGTCTGATGAGATAGCATGTGAACGTGATTATTTTATCAAGAGACAAATAAACCTTGTTGCGAAACCGGCTTTAACAATTTAGTAAATGACCAGGAAATACGGTTTGGGTACCATTTGACCTTATTTGGGACTTTTTTCTTTTTTATTCCCAAGTAAGCATGAAGTTCGTTGTACGAGAATTTTTCTTCTGTTTCAAAAAATGTAAAATTTTATCGGTAATCTTGGAAGAGGAATCAAATTTAAAAGGAAAAATACTCTGCTGTTATAAATAAGTACAATTTTAATAAAACTTGGCAAGTAATACAGTCTATAGGTTTAATAAACGTAGCCACCTAAAAATCAAAACATAACCAAGCACAGCAGATATTTTAGATAAACATTTTTATGAGGCTATTATGTATACTGTTTTAAAGTAATAATAATCTAGTTACATGATGTTGTTAAATATCAAAGTAACTAACTGGCGCCTTATTCATATGTTGTGGTAAATTCAAGCTGCTTTATTTTATTAGAAAATGTTACCAAGGGCAAATGGAAACATTAGATAATTACACATTTAAGAGCTATTCAATGTTACACCACAGAACTTTTTATTGTAGCCACGATTATAAACATATAATAAATTATTACTCGTACATTATTACACTAATGTCTTTATTAAAATTTGAAACCCTAATAAATGTCGATTTTTGTGTGACCAAATATGATGACGCTTCAGTTTCCATGACGTCTTGTGAGTTGTCATCAAAATTTTGAAAACACAAAAATAACCGTCTTGTTCGACTCTTCAAGGCAACAAACAATCACATGATCTCCAGGAATTTTTGAATTTCGTTGCCAAACGTCGCACTTGGCAAGATGATGAACAAAAGATAACTTTAATTAAATTGTTTTATTGGCCAAAAGCAAGCAGTTATAATGCGAGTATTGTATTGTAATAGAAAGAAATTGATTTGACATTTCAACATTGATTTTCGTCGAGTGTGCGTCAGAAATTCGACCCTTATTATTTGCCGCAATGACGTTACAATTGTGACGTGTTTGCAACAATCGATATGTTTCAAAAGTGGTGAAAAGTGATAATAAGAAACCTAATTTCGTCAACAATATACAAAGTCTTGCAACAAAAGGTTTTGTAACACTTTCAGTATCGATTGAAAAAAGTTTGCGGTGGGAAAACAACGATTTTACGTATTTTGGTTCAACACAATAACATTATGACTTTTTTATAACCCAATTCTATCTTGTTTAGTCATTGCTTTTATTGATATTTATTGTCGATATTAAGGATAATCCATGTTTGTCAGCTACAACCCAGTAAGTCACACCTGACATCAACTGCGTCTCAAAATTATACCTACCTACAAACTTTCCATACAAACAAATAGCTTATTTTTGCCACAACAATGCTTCTGCAACCTACGAATACCCTTTTTACATTTTCATTGTGCGTTTAGGGATTTCTGTAAACTTCCTGTTTACAACCTTAAAGAATCCATGATATTATCAACTACATATTTTTCTCTTCAATCAAACTCAAGGAGCAGATATTGTTAAGTCAAACTGATTACTATGATGACCTATATTTCTGTTTCAAACACGTTTAGATGGGACAAAAACAAAAAAAAAATATTTGAAAACTGATTCTATCAGAACCAAAGATTCGCTGAAGTGAGTTTTGAATTTTTACAGAGTTCTAAGAATTGTCATTTTCAAATATTGCATTTACCAATATGAGAATATTAAGTGTAATGTTTTGAAATCAAACAGGTTTTTTTGTATTTTTTTAATCTCAATAATAATTTAGAAAAAGAGTCAATTGAATCATAATTTAATAAAATGCCGAGTAAAATATATATGTCGTAGTCATTGGGCGTAATGCGTCATTCCGCGGAAAGCCTAGTCTTTGGCCGTACTGCCGGCAGACGTTGTAATCAAATGAATATTCCTTTGTTTGACTGAAATTTTACGTCATTTCAGAGATTGCCTACTTAATTCTCGTCAAACAAAGTAACCGGTTAAACCAGTACATGTTACAGCGTTTGACGAAAGTGTATTTAGTCATTTGCTAAAAGGTCTTGAAATGTTTGATACTTTCTGTAGAAATGTAATTTTTGGTAGAAGAAAAGAAAAGAAAAAAAAACTAAAATATTTTTATTGTAGCAAAATATTTGTTTCGTTTATTTGGAATAATGTAAACATATAATATTATAAAATCATACAAAAAACGGTAAGTACATGACATAAACAACAGATTAAAATATATTTTTTGCCTTCGGGTAAATTAAA